GMRGGAAMCCTGTGTCGGTCCATGGAAAATCGACTCGATGGTATACCATTTTTTCTTAGCTATGGTGCTCCGCTCGCGCGGGCCTTCGGCCCTTCGGCCCGCGCGGGAGCTCCGCTATAAGAGAAGAACTTAAAATAGCTAAAAGGTTGTTTACAAAATTAGAAGTTTTTAAATACGACGAGCAACAAACATAGCACAGGAGGCGCACAAAGACACAGGAAGCACATCAACTCAAATATCAGTGTAATGTCTAAATTATCCAGTCTTTCGAGGCCAAATCAAAATGGCACTAAAAAGGTTTGGAAGAAAGCACGTTTGGAAATAAGCAGCTTTGTAACGATTCTGGTTGAACGTTAAAAGCCATGGAGTCCATCTATTAGTTACTACCCTACCCTGGTAACAGAAGCTGGTAATTTATAATTAAAAATTATTTACCAGTAATTTTCTTATAATGCCTGCATGGTTTTGAGTGGCGACGCGTGAGGAACGCACGCTTTGTTGGCCATACTAATTTGTGCCCATGTATGTTCTTTCTTTCAATCTGATGGGCGGAGCTTTTCGAAAACTCGTTCAATGATTGGCTGATTAGTATCAAGCTCCGCCCCCAAGTCGCAGAATAACCTAAATCCCAACTTTTTAATTTGAACATTGACGTCGCGATGCAACGTTTTCTGCTGTAATTAAGTCTCGTAAGGTCTGTTGCTGATGATAAAAGGTAGCTAGAGCTACTCAAGCAGACTGGGAGAAAAAAAGATACTTCAAAAATCTATGGAATCATATCAAACTTATTGCCATACATCGTGAACATTTAGCTCTCACTCGTGTCCAGGTACGCTCGACCATTTTTTTCACTAGTGCGCTTGCGCTGTAGTATCAAATTTCGCGGGAAGTAACGCGTTCGTGATGTGATAGTCAACATGTAGTCGCTGAAATCAGTACTCCAAAGAAAGCCACCGAAACTCTCCGTTAATGAATGTTTTACTGAAGTTATTAAGCCGAAAAATGTTAGAAAGAAACGCCAAGATCGAAAATTATAAAGAATGTTAAAATCCAGTTTGTKGGCTACAGTAATTCGTGCGATGAGTGGAGGTCTTGTTGTTATGAAGGGGATAAAACTAAAGCGAGTTTTTCCGCGTTTATAAACTTATAAGATACCATCAACGGCTTCTCTTATGGACAGAAAAGACTTTGAGTTATGGAGAATATTAAGCGAAAGTTGTATTCTGGATAAAAAGATGACCCGGCCAGTACTCGTATTTCATGAAGGAATCGCTGTAGTTGAGAACTTAAAACAAGAACGTGGGAAGTCCGTTTATCGTATCTTTAAAATAAGGACTTAGAATGTGTACTAGGAGACAAATGGAATAACCGCATATTCAATAAAAATGGTGATTTTGCGTTTGTTATCGAAGGAAGTGTCAGTTCTTCCACATCCTAGACATGTTATATATTAGGCAGAAAAAAATAAATAAAATTTAAAAAATCAAATATGTTCAATTTCGAATTTATCAGAAAGTGCCGTACTTTATAATTCTATACAAAAACCAAGGAGAATTACTCTTAAATGTGCTCTGCTTTCCATTTTCACTCTCGTTTTGCTTCCTCACTGTGACCGTACTGAGGGTCAAGACACCAAATATGACAAGTACACAAACTTCGTACGCCATAACCCGAACCGAAATCTTAAAGAACATACAAGTACTATACATCAAATTACGCCAAATTTATTGGAGAGTTCAAATTCAGAGGTATTAATTGGATACACGGGCGATTGACGTAGCTAGAGGTCAAATACTGAAGCGTACATCATCACTAGATGAATCCTTTGTAAAAACAGCCAAAATTGTTAACTTCAACCCCAAAAACCCGAACTCAATTTTTTGAAATTTGAATGTATTTTCATGTATTGCTTAAATGTGTATCTTTTGAGAATCGGAGGTATTATTTGCGTCAGAAAAAAGGAACTACGTGAAAAGTAAGAAAATGTGCAAAAATCAGCCGCATTTTGTATGGGCGCAGTTGCGTGACACTCGACCTCGAAACAAAGAAATGTTAAGGGCAAGTTTCATATGCGAAAAGTATGCTCGCAGAAACTTTCTTTTGACAAGCGTTTCATTTATTGGGGGTGTATTCCTAGACAATGCAAAAGAAGCGTTACATCACAAGTATCAAAAGCGCTAGCTATGCTTTTAATCTTTGCCTCGTTTTGAGCACAAAATCAAAGCTTATTTTTGTGTCTTTGAGAAATGCAATTTCAAAAGCCTATATTTTGTTGAAAAATAAATTTCTGAAATTTTTCTTGTCGTTAAGCGATTCATTTCTTAACCTTAACTCGGTTCTGAAAAGAGGGTCTCAATGGGGTTAACCGTGAGCCGTGAAACGGCTAAAAAATTAGCCGTGAATCGTAAAAATGAGAAAAAATAGCCGTGAAACGGCTGAAAAATTAGCCGTGAGTCGTGAAAATGAGAAAAAAAATAGCCGTGAGGCGTGAAAAAGTCAAATTTTTAGCCGTAAATCGTGATACGGACCCCCCCATTGAGACCCTCTGAAAAGACCAATGGGATCGATCTCAAAGTCAAAAGCTTTTGCGCTAAATCTTGCAGGCGCGACTAAATAAAGTGCTTTCATGAATGCAGGTATTTGCAGGTATTGTTTATTTGAAACCCACGCTTATGTGTTTTACAAGATTAAATGAACCAATCTAATTCTACGTAATAGATACGAAAACATCAATACTCCAATTTCGAGTTCTGGTCTGYCTTGTTTTAGCCTCAAAAAATGATCATTATATTCTTTTTCTTCACTGATAGCACGAATGCATGGAATTTGTCAAGATAAATAAAATTGAAAATTTGAAATCTCACAGTTTTATGTTCACAGGTAGGAATATTTTGCACACAAAAGAGGCTAACAAAGAACATTGTAGAGTTCGAAACTGGGGTATTTTTAAATTAAAATTTTTCAATATCTTAATTGCCAATTTCAACTCGTGCATTTTTCACTGCTCAATGACTGGAGCACGCTTCAATGGCTTGACGTTCGGCAAATTAGGGTAATCAAAGCGAGAAGACACATCTCTTTTTCTTTTCTTGCTTTGGTGTTCAACCAGCACGTCAAATGTTTTTGATTCATATTCCTTCCCGCCATAACCAACATACGCCTTTCCATAGAAAAACGCTGCCTTTCCAGGAATCATGTGACCGTCTGAGTACCTCACCCTTGCAACATACAGTGGCCTGCCTATAAGATAACAGCCCTTTATTTGACATTATCATTATGATTTATTTTGTTTTGTTCTTCATGTTGTTACGTAGCTCTTTTGTAGTTTTACAACGCAAAATTTATCATAAATTAGCGTGGACTTATTATTGGACACAAGGTTAGAACTTGAGTCCGTATGGTTGTCGATGGCAATTTAATTCTACCAGCTAGAGAGCTTCATGAGAAGAGAAACCGCAATTATATTAARGCATACATAAAATTTAGATTTGATTTATTTTATTATTCTTATTYATTCATTTGATTTATTTTTTTAATTTTCTAAAATTGTATATATAATTTTTCTTTACAAAACACTCAGTTTGCTGAAGATGGWCAAAGTGCCGAACGTCCAATAAAACAGAAATATTATAGCTTCAAGTTGGTGTTTTGTTTTATTTCATTCTGTTTAAAATTTAGATTTGTATTTCTTTGACTTACCATTGTCGTACCCTCCTATGACTGCATTGGCAGGAACATGGTTACCACTGCTTGCTTTCCACTCCAAATGGGACTTCCATCCAGGGTTTGTAAGAATCTGATAATTGCTATCAAAGTGCTCACGTCCTCCCCATGACGCATGCGCTTTACGGGCTGATACATCCATTTTTCCAGGCGTTTGGCCACTGYGTAGTTTGATTCTTGCAACGTGAAGTACCTAATAGTATACAACGTATTTAAAGTCTTGTATCATACGTTTAAAGATTTTTAGTCTTCTTGTTATTAGGTGCATCTGATATAAAGGAGATTATAAACGTTGTACCTGTTTGTATCTGTGTTTTTTAAGGAATTGACGCTATATTGTAACGAATTTCCTACCTCTCCTGGATAGTCTGATCCACCGGCTACGGGGTAATTAGGGACGTTACCATGGGAAGCGTCCTCCCAACGAAGATTYGAGCATCCCACAGCCTTTGGACACGATAAGAACAGCGATAAGGAAAATATTTATAATTTGTTTTTGAAATTCGTATTTACTTGGTGAATCTAAAAATCAGTAATAATGATGATAATGTTGCTTTTAGGCATTTTATTGATATCATTGATTACAATAATTACCCCGACAACATTCCAGTTCACGGGGGGGGTGAATCTAGTGGGGATAGGGGTTTGCTGGAGGACGGATAAAGGGACGATAAAGTTGCTAGATCGCAGGAGAACAAACGTTCTGTTTTGCATGACGTCCTATGATAAGCTGTTTAAGTGAACCATGTTTCCGTTACAAAAAATAGAAAAGAAAGTTTATTTTGTTTTCCAAAGCAGTTGTGAAATCAGCTGCTACATGTACTAGATGATTTTCAGGCTTAAATTCTAAACATTATAKATCCAAACTAAGAATGGGTCAAAAGGTGTCAAATAATCACAATTATAGTATCAACGAGAATTTCAGACGGATCTTCGGTCCTTTTTATCAGGTTATACTTTAATAATGAAATTTGGGTGTGATTATAATTGTTATTGGACTTACGGTGCTTTTTAACATCAGCGCCACCATTGCGACCAGAAGGACTGAGATCTTTAACGTTAATCTCGGCATGTCTAGTGTAGTAAAAATATATGAACATGAGGACCGCATGACACTATGATCAACACGATATAGAAATGAAAGAAAGTTGTAGTGCTTAGAAGTAAGCAATTCCGGGAGGAAAAAAAACAAAGAAAAAAAAAGCAAGCAAACCTATTTTTATTACATGACTCAGCTAGTTTGGTATGATGAAAAATAAGGGACGGAAAACAGCGTGCCAYGAAAACAATCTTGCTCTAAACCCAGTGAATAATTGATACATGATATGAAGTTTTAAAATCACCATGTTAACTATTAATTTCACATTTACTTGCTTTTTTTATAATTGATGAAGCAAAAAAATGAAAAAGGTTTGGTCATAAATGTTGTGAAGTATCCATAATTTAGATGGAATCTTAAGACGTCGTTGATAAGCAAACGTGACCAGAACCCCTCTGTGATATGATTCCAATTCATTACTACTGCAATCAGCACATATGTACTTTTAATATAAAGCTTTAGATACGCCATTTACTTATTTTTTGCCTCGTTTAAATCGTGTTATCTAATCAAACAAAAACGTTAAAATTGCATTTTTAAATTCGCATGCAGCATTGCATGTTGATCACAAACTATATATGTAATATTYTTATTTCTGTTCTTTCTTTTGTAAAATAGTGAAGCTAAAATCTTACCTTTGCAAAAGATCTATGAGGCACTTTCTTAGCTTGRCTCTGTTAAATCTTCTGATCTCTTCCAGTACAGAATCCTGTATTTATACCTGCCTTAKGGTGAGTCAGTGAAAACATTTTTTAAACTATCCAATTATCATCAAGTTGTAAATGTGACGTTATCTGTCTGGTGTCTGTTTAAATAGAACTAATTGAATTTAGATTTCCAAAGTCTATTTTAAAAACCTGCACCGATCAATGAATACAAATTGAAATAATTACAAACTCGTCGGATAACGACAGCTAAATATTAAGAGGTTATTAACCGAGTGCAAGGTCTGTACGGGAAAATATCAGACCGAGGTCTTGACAGTATACGGACCTAGCGCAGCGAGGTCCGTACATAAAAGACCGAGGTCTGATATTTTCCCGTACAGATCGAGCAAGCGAGATAAATAACTCGTTTATTATATGGCTTTTACACCGTAGATTATAGAAGAATTACTCAAAGTAGATAGGAAAAGCCCTCACTGGTCAACTTGCAACCCGTTGCCTCCCTTTATCTGATGGCAACGCTTTTCTCAAATATCTTATCTCACGATATCAGTAAAATGACACGGAGTCATCATATTTTCAGTCGGCTAAAAAGACGGGGATTTTGGCTCCTTGTTTCATAGATTCAGTTTATTTTCACACACAAATACATTATCATTACAGTTTA